TAATATAATATAATATAATATAATATAATATAATATAATATAGCAAAACGGTCTCTCAAAGAACGTTCTTGGCCGAAGACCCGTATGTTCAGCACGTTGGACAGCGCGTGCTAAGTGCCCATGGGATTTGAAGTCATTTTCGCGCGGCTGTGCGTCACGGGAGACCGCTTAGAACTACAAGTCCCATGATTCCTTGCGCGACGCCGCTTTCCCTGCTCGTAGGCATCATCGGAAACGGGCCACAAGGCGTCGTAGTAACCAAGCCGAGTGGCTTACTAGAAACCAGAAATCATATTCTCCAAAATATTACGCCAATAACTCAACTCAAAGCGCCTTTACTCCCTCAACGCAGCGCCGAGTTCGCGGTGGAAGGGATTAATCCACCTGAAGCAGCTCGCTCGGCTCGTTTCCTTCGTGTGAGAGTGAGGGTTTTTGCGCCTCAGAGCCGGTTTCTGATGATCCGGATCACGCGAGGAATCGAAGAGCTTGCTTGAGGATCACCGGGAATCGAAGAGCTTTAGGCTGAAGTTGAAGAGCATGAAGACGTTTTTTGGGGAAGGTCTGATCGTCGGCGCGATCGAGAATCGTCAGACGGCTGAAATCGTGGAGATTTTCTGAAATCCCGGAGGCAAACACGCCGACTTCTGTGCTTTAGAGAAGATTTACAGCACGATGGCTTTGAGGTTTGTCTCCTGATGTCTCTGCAGCCCTTTAAAGACGTCCAGACCTCAGTGTGCTGAAGGTGTCCGGCTTGCACGAGGTAGTTGTAGATGCATTTGGACCAAGATCAGCTGCTAGAGTTGTTTTTAACGGTAATGCACAGATGTAGCATGCTTTTTAAAGGCTTTTATACCCTAAAAACTCATGCAATGTTTGGTAGGTGTGACCAACTATTCCGGTATGAACATTTGTAATCACTCCTGACTCTTTGTTTGATTGCATTCCCTTTAATCTGGATCCAGATATCAGCATTTTCCCATCATTGTAGCCTGATTTCTTCATGACACCCATTGGGATCTTCAGACACCCTTCCCTGTACAGGTGACCCAGCTTGTGTTCCAGTTATGATGCCTGTGCTGCAACTTCAAGAGGGCGTTGAATGGTGGCAGTCCCATAGGGTTGGTTAAAGATCTGAACTGGTGTCCGAAAGGCTGTAGGTAGCAACCCTACAAGAGGTTAACCATCACCATTGTGTCTTTGACCTCCACAGGGCCCATCCCTGTAGAAAGTCCACTGACACTTTTGTGAATGATAGACCATTGCAGATCCTGAGAGCATGGCAGATAAGACGGCTCCCCGCTGTCAGCTGAGGCTGGAGTGGATTCATGGATACAGAGGCCATCAGTGCAGGAATAACCTGTACTACACCGCGGGGAAGGAGATCGTGTATTTCGTGGCTGGAGTCGGAGTGGTTTACAACACCAGAGAACACACACAGAAGTTTTACTTGGGACACAACGACGACATTATTAGGTATGACGATGCTCTTTATAACAGATACCAAATATCAAAACATCACAAATTTACCATGCACTATAATTCCATTGTAATCTTTTAAATGCCACAAGTAACATCACTTAATATGGCAATCATTCAGTACCATGGGTATGTATCAAAGTACCATGATGTTTTTGGAATATGTACCATAGTAAAGTCATGGTGTTTTTGGAGTACCATGAAGTTTTCTTGGACGTGTACCATGATGATGCCATGTTTTTAGGACTTATATCATTGGAAATACCATTAAATTCTTTGAAATGCTTCAAGGTCTGATGTAAATACCGTTTAGTACTGTTGCAAGTGACAAAGTACAATGATAATACCATGTTTTTAAAATGTACCATGGTAATATGGTGGTACTTACAATTTTTTTGAACAAATGCAATGGCAAAACCCTGTTTTTCTGGACATGTGCATTGGTGATTCCATGTTTTTTTTTTTTTTTTGCATATTTACCATGGTAATGCCATTGTATTGTTTTAAAAATCACTAGGTATGATATAAATATCATGGTAAATTAACATGACAATCATTCAGAATCATTGTATGTAACAAAATACCATGATAATACCATGTTTTCTAACATGGTAATTTCATGGTATTTCTTGGAGAACCATGATATTGCAATATTTTGGACAAACACTATGGCAAAACCATTGGTGATACCATGTTTTTTTGGACATTTGCCATGGTAATGCCATTGCATTTTTTAAAAAGCATGAAATTTCATGCGTATTCCATGGTAAATTAATATATCAGCACCAATCATGATAACAAAATACCATGATAATACCATGCTTTCTAATATGTACCATGGTAAAGTCATGGTATTTCTTGGAGTACCATGATATCACTATTTTGATTGCACAAATATTGTGACAAACTAATTGGTGATACTATGTTTTTTTTGGACATTTACCATGCTAATGCCATTGTATTCTTTTAAATGCCACAGCATTTAATGCATATACCATGGGAAATGAATATATCAATCAGCACCAATCACAGTAAACAAATACCATGATAATACCATGTTTGAATATGTACCATAGTAATGTCGTATTTCATGGATTATGGTATTAATACAACAGTTTTTTAGACGCGTACCACAGCAATTCCAGGTATTTGTACTTTTATTATAGTATTGCCATGGTATTGTTTAAAACAGAGTACCACATGAATACCATGGTACTTGAATAATCATTATATATCATAATACCATGACTGCACTATCATACGATAGTGTGTTTGTTTGCCCGTGTAGTGTTGACAGTAGTTGTTCCTCTCTGATAAAGCGGTTTGTATCTGAGACACCTGATGCTATCTGAACGTCGGCACACATTTCCATCCGCACATTTATCAGACCGTCATCGTCGATTTTTCAAATGTAAATAAAACAAAGATTATTGGAGTATGTTTTACAAGAAAATACTGGTTTTTATACTTCAAAATTCAATGTGTTACTTGCCATTTCTTTGTAATGAATTGTGACATTTACAAGTAATTACAAGTATAAAAAACACCAGTTTTTTACTAATAAATAAATGTTTTAAAGGCACAGTTTATTTAATTAGTTTATATATTTATCATCAATAAATCCAAATTTTTTCAATCTCTTACATTTTAACTAACTGAATATTGCTTTTTCCAAAGTTATCCATATTTTAACCATGTTCATACATTTTAACTGAATAAATGTAATTGTTTTCACAATGAACAGATTCATGCTAAGCAATTTGAGTAGATGCATTTTGAAAATAATTTTATGATTTAAATAATCAAATAGATGCATATAATCAACTATGCCATGTTTTTATTTATTTATTATCACATTAAGTTTATTTGTATCAAATGCATATAGATGCATACAATTAATAATAAACTATACTATGTTTATTTCGTTTGTTTATTCATTAATTTATTTGCATAACATTAAGTTTATTAGTTTGTTTATAGTAAATGCATGCAGATGCGTATAATTAATAATAAACTATGCCATGTTTTCATTTATTTAGTTTTAGTTTATTTATTTACTTATTTATTTGCATCACATTACGTTTATTAGTTTGTTTATATTAAAACAGTAGTCCAAAATGCATGTATATTTTATATGTAATTCAAATGCATAAATCTTAAATTTAGGCTTGAATATTTTATCTGAGTGAGGGTGAAAGATGTATTTTGTATTGATCATAGACCGAAAAATAATTCAGAATTATGGTTTATAGTTTGCATCTTGCATTTTAGTCATGTTTGCATGAATATTTGTTTTATGGACTGTGTTGTGACAGAAAGCCAAGCAGATTTAACAATATTTAGTCCTGTTTACATTTTCCCGACTGTCAAATCCACACATCGCCGGCTCTGTTTGTGCCCGAGGGTGGGATGCTATTCTTGTCATCCGATTCCATTCACAGCAGTTATCATCTTGCCCAGATCCTCAACAAACTGATCGCTCCAATACAACTATCATGTTTGTTTATAATAATGTTTAATTGCTTGGTTAGAGTTAGAGTGCAGGTTACATTCTGTGAAGGAAGAGTCACAGGATATGTGCTGAATTATGGGATGCGAGGTGTCTTGTTTTAGGCTGAGCCTGCAGATGATGGATTTGGTAATTAGTGTTGATTGTCTCAAATGTCCCATCACCTCGTTTAGCAGGTCTCTCTGTAATGTGCACCTATAAACGGAAACCACGAGACAGCCTTTGTGTTATTGCAGTAATTGTGTATGTTTATGGAAACTCTGACATTCAGTGTTGTTGGCTTTTGCCAGATTGTATTATATTAGAAACACACACACACTGGTCATGGTCGACATAGACAGAAGAGTGAGTATATTAACCCAGTTCATCTCGCTGCCTGGGGGGGAACTTTGCTATTAAAAGTCATATTAAAAGTACTATGAAACACACATGATGCCAGTGGCGCCGAGGTATAAAATGTGCTTTTACTGCGGTGCAGAGCCACATCAAATGAACTTACACTGTCATTCTGGGGTACAGTAGAGCAGCCTTGTGTTTATGCAAAAATTATTTAAGGTGTTTAAGTCAACTGTCACTAATACTAGCGCTCATAGTTAGTGTTTGTGATTTGTACAGACCTTGCTTGAACACTAAGAATTAAACTCGACCTGCAGTAAATCATGTGTCTTGTTAAGGAGAGGTGTACTGTTACTATATATTATGTGCTTGTTTATTTATGCAAGAAGTTTTTGCCTGGCAGGCGATAAAACAAGCAATTTATAGAGACCAGAATAATTATAGAGATGTGAAGGTGATGTAGTTTGTTTAACAGGTGCTTAAATCTTTTTTGTTGCATTGCAATTGCATAGCATTGCAAAACAGCAAGCTTCTTGTTCAATATTTTTGTCTTGTTTGTTAGTACAAATATATAAACATTCTAAAAAATATATATATATATTTGCTTGAGAAACAAAATGACTTGAGATGTTAAGTCTTGTTTAAAAAAAAATAAAATAAAAATTAAGTGAGTTTATGCTTAAAACAAGAAAAAATATCTGCTTGAGAAATAATCTTTCTGACCACATTGGGATATTGACATATTTAATTCTAATAAATTGTTCAGAATACAAGACTAAATATCTTTATATAATTTTGCTTTTTAAGTAAAATGTAGTTTGATTTAAGATTACATTTGTCATCACAAAAATGTAAACTGTATTATCACACAGGTCTATATATAAAGTTGGCTATATATGATGATATAAGACCTGATTTTAGATTTTTTTTTTGTGCAAAATATGGCTATTATTGCCCAGCTCTTTACATAAAGTATACTCAAATAAAGCAATCTGCTCGACTGTTTATATAATCACAGAATGTAACTGTATTATATCTACTAAATGCAATATTAAGATATTATAAACATTAACATCATGATGCTTTGAAATTTATTCTCATGATAATTAAGCACTTTTCCCTCCAAATTCTTATTCCTGTAAAATGCATGTGAAATTTTATTTGTGAGTTTTGCTGTAATTTTCATGATTCTCAGTGGCGTTTGTCATTGTTCTCTTTGTGTAAATTTAGCATCATAACATTATATAAAAAAAATTAGAAGTTGAAAATAAAAATTAAAAATTAAAAAAATTATTTGTAAAAAAAATGTTTGAAAAAAAAGTAATTATTGGAGTATGTTTTACAAGAAAATACTATTTCAGTCTTTCTATTTTAAACTTCATGTTTAATTCAATGTGTGATTTAATTCCTTGTAATTATTTTGAAATGTACTAGCAATTTCTGTGTAAAGATAGTTTCAAAGCCATCTTTTTCAGTGAAACAGAATTGCAAAAATAATGACTTTCCCTAAAAACTCAGGTAGTGTCACCAACTCATGTTAATTTTTTATGCAAAATAAACATTAACATCATGATTTTCCTGTAAAGCTGCATGGAAACAATGTGTTTTGTGAAAAGCACGATTCTACGAATCAATTTGACTCTTATATTTGTATTTGAAAACAAGACAAAAAAATACTCTAGGTTCTTCAGATCAGTGTTTTGGTTTTCCGTGTTCTTCTAAAGAACTGTGTTGAAATAGCTGCTGTTTTGAGTTGTCTGGATTATCCGTCTCTAAAGTAAAGACTTTAGTTTTGGTGAGTCAAAGAGCTCATTGTTGTAGTTTCTCTCAGCATGAAGGGCAAGTGTGGGGTCACTCTATCAGCCCGTATCTGACCCCGAACTCAGCGAGATTAGCCCAACATTTGAGCTCTTAACAGAGGGCAGACTCTCCGTGGAATTACTGTAAGCTCAAATTCCACGCCGTCTCATCCAGTGCTGCGTGTGACAGCAGGGGCGGACTGGGACAAAAATTCAGCCATGGCACTGTAGCCACACCGGCCCACATTACCACACCGACACAGCCCCACCCACGGACACGCACATTCACTACTTACATTTGTGTAGAGATGGTGAAATAATATAAGCAGTACCATATATGTAACAGATATTTA